TTGTTACTTTTTGGTCTCTCTTAGACAGTACTGTATATCTAACCAGGCCTGGGGATAAGGAAGGAGTATGACTGAGGTCACAGAGCAGTAGTGGGACACACCAAGCTCAGTGTTAACCCTGGGTCACTGTTGTGATGTCCTGTCCTGACAGGCTAGTTTACAACAGAACATCTGGGACTACCCACTTTCCTGATGGTGTGGATGTGCGTGTCCCTGGCCTTGGGAAGACTTTCTCATTGGAGTTCCTGGATCCTAGCAAAAGCAGTGTGGGTACGTAGCTCTTACTAAAGGTCTCCACAGGATGGGGTTGGGGGTCTGCTGGACTCCTAGAGCTGGAAGAACCCCCTGGGGTTCCTGTGAGATCCAGGGGTAGCATGCAAGCTGTCTTTGGTCAGTGTCTTGGCACAAATGCCTCTAGTCCTACAGGGACCTCCTTTTAGGAGATGTTGCAGTCTCTGCAGGGGCATGGTATGAGTGGTTGGCATTGGGTATATTTTTTCTAATCCCACATGTTTGTCCCTAGGTTCCTATTTCCATACCATGGTGGACAGCCTAGTGGGCTGGGGCTACACACGAGGTGAAGATGTCCGAGGGGCCCCCTATGACTGGCGCCGTGCTCCAAGTAAGTCACATCATTCCCTCCCTGTGGTTTTGGGAGATGAGACTAGGCAGTTACAGCCACCCTGGTCCTTGGCCTCTCCTGGCTCTGGGCTTCTCCCTACCCCTAGATCTCTTGTATCCATTCCAGAAGTTAGAGGCCCTGACCAGCCCTAGTCATTCTTGTCCTTCTCCATTTCTGGTCTAAGGGCACCTGTGCCTCTGAGCCTTGGGTGGAAAGGGAACCTTTTGTTCTCTGTTAATGGAATTGGGGCTTTAGCACTCTCCACCCCATAGACCTGGGTCTTTTTTTTTTTTACATTTATTTAGTGTGTGTGTGTGTGTGTGTGTGTGTGTGTCCAGCTCAGCCCACCAGGGGGCAGGGCTGGCTGGCATATGGTGCTGGGGGATTGAATTGCGGTCCCTGTGCTTTGCCAAGCTTGTTCCAAGTAGGTGCTTTAGACCACTGAGCCATCTCTCCAGCCCCTAGACCTGGGTCTTGCCTGAGGGACAGTCAGTGGTTCAGGCCCCAGGATCCTTCCTCCTACCTTCTGTCCAACTCTTGTCCACAGATGAAAACATGGCCTATTTCCTGGCCCTCCGAGAGATGATCGAGGAGATGTACCACCTCTATGGGGGCCCTGTCGTGTTGGTGGCCCACAGCATGGGCAACATGTACACGCTATATTTTCTACAACGGCAGCCACAAGATTGGAAGAACAAATATATCCGTGCCTTCGTGTCACTGGGTGCCCCCTGGGGTGGCGTGGCCAAGACCTTT